AATCACTTTAACTATGAACAATCATGCTTAAGCTACATAATCTTTACTCCCTGGAATGGAGATAAGAAACGCCCTAACCTTTGTAATAGAGATTGATAGGATTGAATCAACTGGTATAAATACAGATGTAACAAGACAGAAAGACACAGAACTTAGAAGACAGAACTTAGAAGAGAGAACCTAGACACAGAACCTAGACACAGGAACCTAGAGACAGAACTTAGAAGAGAGAACCTAGACACAGAACCTAGACACAGGAACCTATAGACAGAACTTAGAAGAGAGAACCTAGACACAGAACCTAGACACAGGAACCTAGAGACAGAACTTAGAAGATAGAACCAAGAGACACAGAACCTAGACACAGAGCCTACACAGAACCTAGAGACAGAAGAACTTCGCTGGAGAGAACATGGCAAAAGATTCTGGACAGAACTTGGCGACCGAACCTGGCTGGAGAACCTACAGAACCTGGCAATAGAACCAGGCAAGAGAACCCAACCATGCTGATCAACTGAACGCTGCCCCCGAGTCTTTCCCTCTTCGCCAACTCCATCCACACCTTTGGGGACCCCTGGACCCACTGGGGTTGGACCCCAGCAGGAGCTGGAGGACCTTCTGCCAAAAGCTGGCTGCCACGATCTTAGGATCCTTGCCACACAGTCTGTCCCTCCCTGTGGCCGGGGCTACCTCGAAGCATGTGCCTGGGATCCAAGAGTGTGTGTGCTAAGGAGGGCGACCCAGGCAGAGGCCATGCTGCCTGCTGTGACTTTAGGAAACGGGCTTCTGGGATCCATCTCCAGCAGGGTCAGCTTTTGATGGAATTTGCTGAATTTCCCCTGGACAAACAGGATGCAGGGAGGAGGGAAGAGGTACAAGGAACTGTGCACGTGGGCCAGCATCATGGTGGAAACCCCCGAGGCGCCGGCCTCGGCTGGACAGGGGAGGTGGAGGCAGCTAGACGGGCCTCAGCCCAATCGTTTTAAATGGCCCAATGGGAGACCGCAAGACCTAGGCCACCTCTGAGGAAACAGGTGACCCCATGGTGCTCAGCCAATGAGGAGCCGGAGGAGGGACTGAATAAAGGGCTGTGTTTGCTGCCCCGGGTGTGCCTGTACAACCAGCCACACACCGCTCTCCAGGGCATGTAGTAAAACTCGCGTTTTCGCCATACTTCTGTCTCCGAGTCCGTTGTTTGACTTCGGACAGGTGGGCGCTTCTTGCGATGACCTTGCCTGTGAGGTCCCGTAGTGTCACTGCAGCATCTCAGAGCCTCACCAGTTTCAGGGGAGGGGGGCGTAGACACGGGAGAGAAGAGCACGTGGCAGGAAATGCTGTTTATGGGAAACAGAATCTGCCAGAGCCACCAACTTGGCAAGTCATCAGGAGCAAAGACTCTGCCTGAATCCCAGACCAAGGCCCTGGCACAGAGATGGGATGGGCCCGCCCTGAGGGAGTTCCCAGCCCCATAAGGGACCCTGTACACCCGGGTGTGCGGAGTGAAGGGTTCAGCAGATGGCGTCGGAGCAACAGAAGGGCTTCCAGAAGGAAAGCAGTTTGGGGATTTACGTTTAATACAGCATCACACTCATCGCTGCAGCAATGCACCAGACTGTCGGGGGAGCGCGTTGCAAGAATAATTTTTGCAATCTGCTTTTTTTTTTTTTTTTTTGGTAAAGGCAAGGTTGTGTTTTTGCAACCCACTTTTGGCTCGTGGCTTCTCCCACCAGCAGAATCATTTGTGCACTGAGGATCAGCCGGGTTTAGTCCCAAACCTGTTTCTGCCAGTCGTGCTTCTTGACTCGAATACAAATTTCAAGCAAACGTTAGGTAAACCCGTAAATGTGAGTGTGAAAGACTCGTCCCTTGGGAAAATGCAATCAAGTTGAGTTCCTAAATGAATTGCTATTGAGTCGTGTGAAGATGGAACAACTATAAAACACTGGAGGGAACTGCTAGCACTCTGGAAGGATTCTGCTCTGGGGCTTCTAAATCACTGTGTTTAAGTTTTTGTTCCTCCTCAAACTGTCACTAGCAATCATAGGTCTGCCTCAGTGAATTAATCTGTGCAAGAAAGGTGACACAGCCCACCAATGGGCTGACACAGCTGTTAAGAGAAGGCCTTGGCCCTACAGAGAATGGCTGGTGAATGATGTGAAATTGATGCATTGCAAATAAAATAAATTAACAATTTAATGAGATAACAATTTCCCCCTGCCTTCACTTTTTGGCTTCCAGTCTTACTGGATAAGATGACTTTTATATACATTCATAGAAAAGATATCATGTTTTTGTAGGGTTTCATTTGACATGTGTGTTTTTACGTTATGCTAGGACCTTACCAAAATCAAGGGTGTCCCCAGTGGCTTAATTTTGTTTTGTGTTTAAATGAGCAACACCGCCAAGGCTCAAGATGTGGAGAGACACCATATGAAGCTATTAAAGGTGTTTCTTCGACCCAAACCAATATAACCATCACCCAGAAGTGACCCACAGGGCTTCAGCCTCTGCTGGTGAGGTTCCGGCTCTTTTCTCAAATGTCTGATAGTTTCTGAACATCCATCTCCGCTTCCCCACTCAACCAGATGCCCCAATGAGAGTCAGATGGGGGGGCATCCTCTCCTTCGTACCAACTCCCCGGGGGGGGGGGCATGGTGGCTGCCCGCACAGGCCACCCAATGGGAGGGACCAAGTGGAGGCAGGTTCCATGGGTGGCGCTCTCTTCCTCTCTCTAGTGACATGGACTCCCCCGGGGAAGAGGGAAAGAGAGAGACCGCTCAGGGGAACTTGGCAAGCATTTCCTGTTCTCCACGTGGCGATGTGTGCAAATGCCTTTTGGAAAATACTTAGTGATCACCACGTTATTTCAGGATGATCCTCAGTTGGGCTCATCTCATTTGTTTCCCATCCAATGGGAAAAATCATTCCTCACTAGATGCAAATCAGGAGACTTCGGTTGGAGGGGAGGGGGGAAATGGCCTGAAGGCGCCCCCGAGACACCGCCTCTAGCACTGGGTATTGGAGACCTTTCCGTAAGGGTTTGTGCAGAACCACCTCGTGTTTTTTAATGGCTGCGTCGCATTACACGTTGCGGGGAGAGCACATTCTAACTGGTATGGATGTACAGCTAGCTTTTTCACAGGCAGTGAGGGAAGTCAACTGAGAGCCTTGGGTTTCACGTCCAAGATCAGCCTATACCAGCTGTGTGATCTTGGACAAGTCTCTCAACCTCTCTGTGCCTCAGGTCCCTCATTTGTAAAGTAGGGATAGTCATCGCATCTATCTCATAGGGAGTTAAAAGAGGGATTACATGCACAGGATGTAGAACAGCATCTGGGACATAGCTAGCACTCAGTAAATATTAGCAATATCAGGATTGCATTTTTTACCGTGACTAGGAAAAATCCACAGCGCAGCGATATGACAACTTTTGCACACTTCCTTGTCTTCGTGTCTCAGGAATAGGGTTTGAAAGCAGGTTTTAAGAAACTTGCTAGTTAGCAAAACGAGTACCTGCTAATAATAGAAATTTTAGAAATAGAAAGAAGAAAATTACCCAAGTAATTACTGTTACTATCTTTGGCCTCTTTCCAGTGTAGTTGTCTCTTTTTCTAAGGGTAAGTTTTGTCAGCTTCTATTTCTCTGCATATATAGTGAGGATTATTACAATTGGGTTTGTATCCTGATTTTTCTTCTTTAAGTTTTTACAGTTTTATGGAGGTATGGCTGACAAATAAAAATTGTGTATTTTAAGAGTTGCAACTTGATGTATACATATACATTGGGAAATGGTGACTGCAAGCTGATTAATACACCCACCCCCTCTCATAGCTACCATTTGTGTGTGTGTGTATGTGTGTGTGTGTGTCTGTGTAGAGAACGCTTAGACCTGTGTTTGAAAAGTTCAAGTATGCAATGGTATTGTTAACCATAGTCACCATGCTGCACGTGTGGTCTCCAGAACTTATCCCATAACTGAAAGTTTCCCCCCTTGACCAGCATCTCTTGCTTCTTATTTCCCCTTATTTTTGAGCTGGGTTAGGACAGTGGTCGGCAAACCGTGGCTCACAAGCCACATGCAGCTCTTTGGCCCCTTGAGTGTGGCTCTTCCACAAAATACCACGTGTGGGCGCGCACGTACAGTGCGAAGTTGACTTAAAACTTTATTAAGTTAATTTTAGGGAACGTTGTGGAGTGAAAGAAGATGTAGTGTCGAGGATTGAGAAAGGTATATTGAGATGGTTTGGACATATAGAGAGGATGAACGAAAGGAGATAGACGAACAAGTATACAAGACGAGTGTGGATGGGAGAGTTGGAAGGGGTCGACCTCAGCGAACGTACCTCAATCAGATTGAGGATGTTTTTAGCAAAGGCCAGCTTAGGAGCACCCTAATTAAGTTAATAACAGTGTACCTACCTATATAGTTTAAGTTTAAAAAATTTGGCTCTCAAAAGAAATTTCAATCGTTGTACTGTTGATATTTGGCTCTGTTGACTAATGAGTTTGCCGACCACTGGGTTAGGAGAATAAAGAGAGAGGAGGGGCAAGTGTGGGCACCAACATGCCCAGCACCGTCAGGAACAGGAATGTCACTACTTTCAATCTGCCTGCAAACGTGTAGTGACATGTTTGAAATCGCCCCCTGTTTGTTGGGGTCCAGCCCCAAAAGGTCCAGAGGTTCCCAAAGGTGTGGACGGAGTTGGCGAAGAAGGAATGACACGGAGACAGCGTTCAGTTGATCAGCATAGCAAGGTTCTCCTACCAGGTTCTGTGTTTTATTGTCTTGTTACATCTGTATTTATACCAGTTGATTTTAATCCTATCAATTTCTATTCCAAAGGTTAGGGCGTTTTTGTTTTTTTTTCCATGAGAGTATGAAATATTTATAAAAAAATCATGCATTAGACTGTACAGTCTAGAAATAAAGGAAGGTTCAAATTCAGTAATAAAGGTGAGAGCAATGCATGCTCTCAGAGTTAAGAAAGACCTTGAAATCCCAGCAGGTCCTGGGCTCAGTTATCCTTTTCTGCTTGCAGAGAAGCTGGAGCCAGGGCGACTGCTGTGACAGGCTGGGCGATTCCATGGAGCTGCATCTTTGCAAGTTTCTTCTGTTCACACTCTGTGACCAAACGGTTCAACTCTGCTGCACTGTATCCAATATCAGTCTTCAAGTCACAGACAAACTTGTACACAAATCTCTTGCCCTGAACTTTACAAATCACGTCTCCATCATAATAATACCTTAATGCACGACTGAGTTTCTCATAGTTCATTGTAGGTTTATTTTTACGTTGTCCCCATTTTTGTGCAACCAGTTCAGGCTGATTTAGTTTAAACTCGCCTTCATCACCAACCCAAGAAATGCAGTCTCGAGCATCCTTGTCAGTAAGAAGTTCTAGCAAAAACTGCCACAGTTGAATCTGGCCATTGTTTCCTGTTCTGTTCCCAGGTGGAATCCTTGGAGCTCTTTGTACTTTAGCTGCCTTTGCACTGCTGTTTATACCTTTAATGGTAGTTGGTGTTGCAGACTGAACTGATGCTGGAAGAATTTGGACAGGTTGATCAATTGTAACTATCTCGTTCATCTGTTGTTCCTGGCTTGCCAATACATATTTTCGAAGAAGCTCCAGATGACCCCAGAGAATGTCTCCCCGAGGGACCCTCTGAAAAAAATCTTCTTGGTTGAGACTACATAATTCTCGTCCTGAAATGTTGAGTGTGCTGAGGTCTATATCAGTCATGCTGAATTCCTTCCTGACCCAAACTACCCAACGCAAGACTTGGTCTGTAGACCACTGTATAGGGTCATACGGTATCCCAAGGCGTTCTTTGCTCTTTCCTATAACCTTCTAGTGCGGCAGCCCATCTTGTCACTTCTTCCGAGGTTTCACCTGAAATGGTTGTCATGTGTTTTGTGCCATCAAGAGTTATCACTTGAGCTTCTTCACCAAGATGTGCTTCTGCTTCAGCATGATGAGCATCTGGATCAATGACTACTTCAGCGGTTTCCGCAGGTTTAACAATTTCAAGGATGTTGAGCTTTGGTTCCATTCCTTGGTAAGAAGTTACCTGCACACTAAGTTGTACAGTTCCATCTGTCTTTACTCCTTGGTCAAATAAACTTCGTTCTGGATCCAGCTGAAAATCTTGTAGACAAATTTCATGAGCATCCAAAGAACACTGTGGTCTTGGTTCTAGTAGTTTCTTTAAATTGCCTATTGGCTCCTTGACGTCTATGGCCTGGCTTACACATTCAGCTGGGGTGTAGGTCTGTTCTACAATGCTTTCTTCTGTGCATTCTGTTTTCTCTGTTCCATCAATTTCAATTTCTATCAGCTCCGCTGCTTCTCCTTTTGTCATGGTTGAAGTACTTCAGAAGCTCAGCCCCGCCCCTTCCTCCCGTTTGCCTTCGGCCTCACCTAGAGCCGTCTGGATGCAGACTGTCTCTCAGGCGTTCCTTATCTCCATTCCAGGGAGCAAAGATTATGTAGCTTAAGCGTGATTGTTCGTAGTTAAAGTGACTAACTGCCCGCCTGGCACTTAGTTAAGGGGTTTTATTCCCTCCCTAACTTCAGGGGAAAATCCCTACCTGGGGAAGCAACCTTTCTCGGAGAGGTGACCTTGGTTAAAACACATAGCGCCAAGAAGGGGAGCAAACATATTAAGAACAGTATGCCATATACGCCAGGCCCCTTGAAACATATGCTGTGCAGATGTTTCTTCCCTGCAGCGACTGTGTCAAGCAGCAAGGCTGGACCGGCTTCCAGCAATGATAGCCATTCTGACAGGTGTGAGATGGTACCTCATTGTCGTTTTGATTTTCATCTCTTGGATGATTAGTGAGGTTGAGCATGTTTTCATATGTCTCTTGGCATTCCTTATGTCCTCTTTCGAAAAGTATCTATTTAGATCTGTTGCCCATTTTTTGATTGGGTTGTTTGTCTTCCTTCTGTTAAGTTGCATGAGTTCCCTGTAAATGCTGGAGATTAAACCCTTATCAGAGACATCTTTGACAAATATGTTCTCCCATGCAGTGGGGTTTCTTGTTGTTTTGTTGATGGTTTCTTTTTCCACTTCTCTCATTTTAAGAAGCCTTCTAGCTTTTGAACCCTTGTTCTTTGTCTCTTCCAAGGCTTCTATCAACAGTCCTACCTAAAGGGCACCCAATCTGAAATGGTCTTGGGTGAGAGATAAGGTGCTAGGATAAAGAAACTGTGATAATTTCTTTGGAAGTACTAAAACCCCTTAACTAAGTGCCAGGTGGCTAGTTAATCGCTTTAACTATGAGCAATCACGCTTAAGCTACATAATCTTTACTCCCTGGAATGGAGATAAGAAACTCCCTAACCTTTGGAATAGAAATTGATAGGATTAAAATCAACTGGTATAGCCCTAGCTGGCTTGCTCAGTGGATAGAGCATGGGCCAGTGGACTGAAAGGTCCCGGTTCGATTTCAGTCAAGGGCACATGCCTGGGTTTCGGGCTTGATCCCCAGTGGGGGGCGTGCAGAAGGCAGCCAATCAATGATTCTCTCTCATCATTGATGTTTCTATCTCTCTCTCTCCCTCTCCCTTTCTCACTGAAATTAATAAAAAAAACATATTTAAATCAACTGGTATAAATACAGATGTAACAAGACGATAAAACACAGAACCTGGTAGGAGATCCTGGCGACAGAACCTGGATGGAGAATCTCGCTATGCTGATCAACTGAACGCTGTCTCTGTGTCATTCCTTCTTCGTCGACTCCGTCCACACCTTTGGGAACCCCTGGACCTGTTAGGGTTGGACCGCAACATTCCAGACAGGGCTCGTCCACCTTTTCCCTGTGGACGCTTTGCTCCCATGGCACAGTTCGTGTTCGACAGCGACCTGCACTCCCTGCTGCAGCTGGACACCCCCATTGCCAGTGCGCCCCCCTCGCACTGGCAGCGCAAAGCTAAGGAACCCTTGGGGCTGCCCCCTCACCCATGAGGGCGGCCAATTGGTCCCACGCCACCGGCAGGACCCCGGGCCACACTCAGGGTCAGTGGGGGCGGTGGGGCGGGGGACGCGGGGAGGGAGGACACACGGCTGACAGCGGCCTGCGGGTCCCTTCCCTCGGGAGGCGAGTGGGACTGTCTGCGTCCCTCTCCACCCTAGGCAAATCCAGCTCCCAGGTTCAGACCAACCCCAGCAAACCTGACGGGGACCGCTATATCCCCCATCGCAGTGCGACCCAGATGGAGGTGGCCAGCTTCCTCCTGAGTAAGGAGAACCATTCGGAAAACAGCCAGACGCCCACCAAGAAGGAACGTCAGAAAGCCTGGGCTTTGAACCTGAACAGTTTTGACGTGGAGGAAGCCAGGATCCTTCGGCTCAGCGGGAAACCACAAAAAGTTCCAGAGGGTTATGAGAACAGACTGGAAGTCCTCTACAGCCAGAAGGCCACGCCTGGCTCCAGCAAGAGGACCTGCCGTTACATCCCTTCCCTGCCGGGGACTGGATCCTGGATGCCCCTGAAATCTGCAACGACTATTGCCAGGGCCAGCCTGACAGGGTTGAGCCGGGCTGAGGCAGGGAGGTGGGAATTGAGAAAAGAAAGAAAGACAGGAAAGCGGGGCCGGGAGGACCCCAGTTCTCTTGATGAACTGAAGCGAGTTTATTAGCTATACAATCCTATTTATACACAACACACTGAATAGGAGGTCTGTCAAGAGGAATGTATTCTTTGTTCCTCTTAATCTCTAAGGGAGAGATACAGCAGAAGGACAAGTTCTCAGTACAGCATATCTCAGTAAATAGGTACAGACTTCTTGGTAAGCTATGAAAGGCTGTTCTCATTCTACAAATGTTGCTCTCATTCTACTGATAATCGCCATCCAAACAAGTCTGGGAAAACTGTGTGGGTAAGGGTCCCAGCCTTGCTAGCTCCTGCAGGTGCAAGGACCTTGCCAGCTTACATCTGGCCCCCAACAGACTATTACCTGAACCTGGTGGATTGGAGCTCGGGGATGTGCTGGCCGTGGCATTGGACCACAGTGGGGCGCTAGCACTGGCGACGTCCTGCAGCTGCTGCAGGTGGAGCAGCCTGGAGACTATGCTTCTTCTGTGCCCTGGATCAGAGGGCAGCTACCTGGCTGTGGGCACCAGCAGCCCTGAGGCTCAACTATGGGATGTCAGCAGCAGAAGCGGCTTTGGATCATGACCAGTCTTTCTGCCCGAGTCGGCTCCCTGTGTTGGAATAGCTACATACTGTCCAGTGGCTCACGCTCTGGTCACATCCATCACCATGATGTTCGGGTAGCACAACACCATGTGGCCACACTGAGTGGTCACAGCCAGGAAGTGTGTGGGCTGCGCCGGTCCCCAGATGGACGACATTTGGCCAGTGGCGGCAATGATAACTTGGTCAATGTGTGGCCTCATGCTGCTTTAGAGGCGGGCTGGGTTCCCCCGCAGACATTCACCCAGCATCAAGGGGCTGTCAGGGCGGTAGCTTGGTGTCCCTGGCAGTCCAATAGACGGGCAACTAGAGGGGGCACCATTCGCATCTGGAACGTCTGCTCTGGGGCCTGTCTGAAGGGTGTGGTTGCCCCCTCCCAGGGGTGCTCCATCCTCTGGTCTTCCCACTACAAGGAACTTAGCTCAGGTCATGGCTTTGCCCACAACCAGCTGGTTATTTGGAAGCACCCAACCATGGTCAAGGTGGCTGAGCTCAAAGGTCACACAGCCGTGCCCTAAGTTTGGCCATGAGTCCAGATGGGGCCACGGTGGCATCAGCAGCAGCAGATGAGACCCTACGCATGTGGCGCTGCTTCGAGTTGGACCCTGCACGGCGGCGGGAGCGGGAAAAGGCTAGTGCAACCAAAAGCAGCCTATCCATCAAGGCATCCGTTGAGGACCAACTCATCACTTCAGTTTTTATGTTTGCTTTTTTTATTTTCCTAATAAAGTCATGTCTCTCTTCTACTTGCAAAAAAAAAAAAAAAAAGAGAGAGAGAGAGAGAGAGAGAGAGAGAACCTGGCTATGATGATCACCTGAACGCTGCCTCCGAGTCCACACCTTTGGGAACCCCTGGACCTGCTGGGGCTGGACCCCAACACCCGTTCTCGCCCAGGTTAGAATGACTCTAACCCCAGGGGTCCCTCGATGTGTTACCCATCCCAGCGGGAGGGCTGGGTGTGCCGGGGGTGGGAGTGTGTGCGCCTGTGCAGTTTACATTTCAAACATTTGTCCCTGAGAGCTTTGTCCAGCGGGCGCCTTCAGAGAGCCAGGCCAGGAGGCTCGGCAAGAGGCGGGCTTTGATATCTGGGTGCGCATTAAAGAGCTGCTTTTGATAGACCCAGTGATTCTCTGGTTCGCGGCTGCTGAATAGGAAATAGTCCTCATCCATAATGCATGCCCTTTAGAAGAAAGACAGAGATGCAAGTCTAAATGTGGCAGAGGCTGGGGAAAGGGGCCGTGTGATTGAGAGCAACACTCGGAACAGGCTGTGCCCTGTGCTCAGCGAACTCCGCTTCCCGCGGCGGCAGGGCAAGGTCCGCGTGGGGCTCACGGGTGGGGGCATAGGCATCAGAGCGGCCGGGGCACCTCTCAGGAGGTAAGGAAGAGGTGACAGAAGGCAGACAGGGACCACATACTTAGAGGGGATTTTTCTAACCCCCAAATTGACTCAAATATTTTAGATCTTTGTGAGGCTTTATTTTGGGATCTTCATTTTGGCTGGCGTGTTCGCCAATGGAAACACAACGACAGAAACATATGGGCTTGGGGGGCCTTGACTGAATTACATTTCCCGGCCTAAATATATCACCAGGCGCAGGCAGCAGCCTGTTGAACGTGTCGAGCCTCATTCCCAGAGCCGGAGATGTCCATTCGGTGTCTGGTGTTCGGTGAATCACCGTGGCAGGGGGGGACTTCCCAGGACCCTTTGCTGCTGGGAAGGGTGAGTTTTGGAAGCACTGCGGGAAATGCTTTTAGTGGGTGGAACAGTGTCCCCAGCGAGATATGTCCAAGTCCTCACCTGCAGCTCCTGTGATTGTGACCTTGGCAGAAACAGGGTCTGGGCACGTGTCTTTCTGGACTGGATTCTAAACCCAGGGACTGGTGTCCTTCCACAAAGAGAAGAGGACACAAAGGAAAGAGGGCCGAGTGAAAACCGAGGCAGAGGTTGGGGTGATGTGGCCACAAGCCAAGGACACCTGGAGCCCCCAGAAAGGGAAGAGGGGAGGCATGGATTCTCTCTAGAGCCTTCGGAGGGGCTGCAGCCCTGCCCACACCTGGATTTCAGACTTCTGGACCGTGAGAGTGAATTCCTGTGGTTTAAGCCTCCCAGCTTGTGTGGATTTGTAGGAGCAGCTGCAGGAATCTCACACAGGGATGCAGGCCTGAACCCCTCGGACCCA